TATTCTCCACCATATTGACCCAGGACTCATATCAAATGGATTTCAAACACATCCACATTTCTAAACCCAGAAATATAAGAAGAAAAAAGGAATGCCAGTATAGAAAGCATCTGATCACCAACTGAGCATGGTGCTCTTTTGTTAGTGGTCTTCATGAAAACACCAGCATCTCTGTTTCATCCAAACTTCTGCTCTTTGCCAACCAAGTCTTGGGTCCAGATAAAATTTGGTCAATATGGATTCTGAATTGATTATGGTAAAGAAATGAATATGACTGGCCTGTATTCCCTACCTGATACATCTTTTATTGCTTTGGTTATATTATTGAATGTAGATTTTAAAGATCTAAAGCCAACATCTGCCAACACAAAAGATCACACAGAATACCAAATAAGCTCACAAAAATATACTTTACCAGATACCCTTCATATAAGTGATCTCACTGTAAGCCTTCTCACAGATTTATAGTATATTTTATTTTAAAAAATAGTATGAATCTGATTCACTGATGTGCCTTGTCGTAAAATATAAGCAAAGTATACTGCTAATCTAATGTTAAGATGCATGAAATCCATTTTACAGAGTTTATATTTTCACAGAGCTCAAAATACAAGACAAAACAGAGCTGGTTTTCTAAGTGGCATCTAAGATTAAGTACTAGATCTGCCATTGTGTAGAATGGTTTGGATCTAGCTCTGATCATACTTGATTTCAAGTCAGATTCTTCTGGATAAGACTGGGGTCTCATCTACACATTTTTCCTGTCTCAACATTGAGATGGCCTGTTAACTATATATTGAGGACGTGTCCTCCCAATGGAATCTCCATCTTGGTGTCAGACTGAGACTGAGGCAGACTGAAACTGGATCAGTGATCTGACAGAGAAGACATCTTTTCCATTGGAAAATGCAATGCAATTTCTCAAGTGAACATTCTGATTTTAGCAGGAGGAGCCTGAGAAAGTTTGACAACCTGCATGGCTCTAATAGGTCCACTGCAGGAAAGCCCTGTCCTATCCAAACACAGAGCCTTGTGCTTCATTGGCCATGTCTACTGTAGCTATGGAGGGAAAATAACTTCCCATCAGCCCACACTTGTTTTTTTTTCCTAGCTTGAATCAGTATAGCGATCTGGAAGGCATCTCAGAAGGTCAGAATTCCTACCTATATTTTTTACTTGCTGGAAAGGAAAAAAAATCTAAGGAGACAGAGATCCTTTCACCTTCCCTCTTTCCTGCACTTATTCCTATAACCATGTTTTTCCCATATTAGCTCCCACAGCCACATGTGAAGGCAGCCACTCATTTTGGAAGTATGGAGGTAGTGATTTTTCCAAAGAGACATGTTTTCCTCCCTTCCTGTGGCCAGAAGGAAAACACATCACTGTAGGGTGCGGAAAAGAACTAAATCTCCTTGGACTACACTGATCTTTTAAAGATTGGCCAAGCTCAATGCCAACTTTGAGTACAAACTTGTAGCTTTGCAAGTTTTTGATGAGGTGAAGGTAAGTCCCATAGTGATGTCTGGGAGGTTCTTTGAACCCAATTGAATAATGAAATGAAATGCAGGAACACCATTCTATGCCTACCCTGCTTATACATATGTTGTTTGAGAAACATTTAAAGCACATGTTAAAGTTTAACTGTCTAAACTTTGAGAGCTGTATATTTTATTTTAAAGTCATGATAATCCAAGGGCTGCTTTTTTTCAATGTGGGTCTAAACCCCTCAATATTTCATTCATTAATAGCTTTGTCTGGGATAGAAATATATTTTCCTCTAAATATTTTCCCTTTCTTTTTCACAGGGAAGGGAAGAAAAGAAAGTGCTAGAAAACACAGAGCTTTAAAATATTAGTTCTAGGTTGCTAATTAAGGAGAGAAGCAAACTAGAACTAAGGAGATAAATTTTCTGACAGTTAGAACAATTAGTCAGTGGAACAACTTGCCTCCAGAAATCATGAGTGCTCCAACACTGGAAGTTTTAAGGAAGAGAGTAGATAACTATTTGTCTAAATGGTATATGGTTTCCTGCCTGAGCAGGGGGTTGGACCAGAAGCCCTCCAAGGTCCCTTCCATCACTGTTATTCTGTATCTTTATCACAATTATGGTACTGATTGATATACCAAATCATAATTTCTGAATGTTTTTAAATGTGCTAAATTGTATTAAAAGTTAGTCATTTTCAGCCCTTTTGAGTTAAGGCATATTCCAGGAATAAAAAAAAAATGTTTTGGTCTTTCTGTCTTATCAAACTCTCATATAAAAGAGAGTTAATGGGGAGGAAGATAAAAGTTTGCAGTGCTCAAAAAGAAAAGAAAAACATTTTGCAATAAATAATGAATACAAAGAAGAGCATAAAAATTAAACTGCTTTTTGTCTCTTTCCAAACAGTGCTTTCGGTTTTGCTTATTTCATTTCCATCCCAGGTTTGAAAACAAAGCATATATACTGGGTATGTATATGAATAATTTGAATCATTATTCAAAAACAGAATGATTTACATGAACAATAAGGTTTAAATGGTATAAATCCATGGAAAAATGACATGTGCACTTAATGTCTTCTTTTTCTTAAAAAGATGGCAACATTCTATAATATAGTTAATATAGATGTAATCAAATAAATAATTTGGGTTTCCTCAGACTACTGTATCAATTGATCGGAGAGGTACTTGCCATTTTGAGATGTGTAAATGCAGTGTCAATAATAGTAAATATGCAAAGAATGGGATTTCAGAAGCAACCAGGAGTCTTATGGCACCTGGATGACTAACAAATAAATTCAGTTCAAGCTCTAAATTGCCATTCTGGTTTAAAAGTTAATTATTATCAGACATACAGTAGGGGAAAACCTCTTTATCAGCTCAACAAATGTTCTGAACTGAGCCTGAAATGGGGTCCAATCTTAAGTCAAAAAGGCTGCCTGAAGCAGAATATTATGTTAAGAGGATTATATAGTAATCCCAAAGTGTAATTCACCTAGAATCTGGCCTTCAATCGATAAATTATATAGGTAGTCCTTGCCTTACAACCAGCCAATTAGCAACAAAAGTTATTATGGACATTGCAATTCAGGTCTGAAGTTCTGATGACAGTGTCCCCTTCCCTCCAAAACATTTACATAATTGTATTTTGGGCATTGGGGAATTTGCCTGCATTATGACCATTTGTCCCACCATCACGCAACTGTGATTTATACATTTTTTTTTGGCCAGAAATCAGCATTTACAACTGGTTTCCAGCAAAAAAAAAAAAAACTGCCCATTGCAATGGTTCACCTAACAACTATGGCATCCACATACTAATTGTAGCATTCACTTAATGGTTTCAGAGTTTGTATTATGACCACCACATTTACTTAATTACTGCCACAAAAATGGTGTTAAAATTGGCTCTGTTCTATGGTGACCTTGACTTACAATCAATATGTCATATTGCAAAAATTCCAGACTCCATTACAGTCATACGTCAAGACTGTATGTATGTCATAATGGCAAAGTAAGGAGAAGTTAAAAAAAAAACAATTTAAGACAAACAAATTATTTGCTAATAAATATGTTTTGCATCCCTGCCAACAGGTTACTATTTGAAAAGATGAGCACTTCACTTATATTAATAATTGCTTATTTCATATTTTATCAATGCTCCCCCATCCTAAATTAAAATACTACTTTCCTGCAACTGTCTGCCTCTATACCTTCCCCAAGTCCTTAAATTTTTCAAACTGTAACAACATATGCCACCTCCTCACCCTCCGTCAGCTTTTTAGTACATTCATTCTCAACTCCTCTGACATCTTTCTGTATAATTGTGTGCCCATGTGTTGTATACCTGTAAAAGAGAAGCAAAGAAAAAAGTGGACATAGAAAGAATAGCTTTCATAACCCACTGTCAAGTTTGTATCATTTCATTGGAGGGGAACATAATCTAAAATATGTGTTGAGTATGAGAAAAGTCTTAACCAATATCAGAAAAATGGTTCCATAAGGAAGCAGTGAAAACTTAAAGGAATTTTAAGTCTTTGTGGAATTTAATTGGTTGTTAATGCTTTCTTGCCCTTCTCTGAGTTTTGTCCTACTCACTGTGCTTGTTTCAATGCATTTTGTACAGAACATCTTTCAGGAAAATACCACCCAGCCTTTCTCTCAAAACCATTCCACTTTGTGTTCTTCTTCCAAATTCAAACATCCCAACCATTTCATTAAAACTCCTTCCATTTTTGTCACCCATTTAATGGGTGGGGTAGAGAGACAGGCGGATGAAGAGGGATGGTAGCTATGATGCCAGAATTAATATTTAAGAGGAAATTATTATTTTTTTAAAAAAAATGGAAATTGGACAAAGGATTTGGCTTTCTACTGCTTTTCAGGTCATCAGTTCTAAAGCTGAAATCTGTTTCACATTAAATTAATGTGAGTAAAAGCTAATTTCAGGTTATTGGGTAGAAGGGCAAACAATGCATCAACAAGAATTGTATCTAGCAATTTATGAGTAAAATCTCAGTCCCAATAAAGTAGTATGTCTTCCCCTTTTCATTTTCTCTTCTTTATCTTCACAGAACGATACACCACTTGCACTATTTTCAAATGCAAGAAATTATTTTTTTTAAAAAAATAACAGCTAATATTAACTGCACTGTTGTTGAATTTGTTTTTCAAACAAAGGCAAGTAAACCTGATAGTTTCCATCCATGCATCCAGGCTTAACATAAAATAAGTTTGTTTCTATATTGGATATGATTCTGGGCATTCTCCCATCAACGTTCCCAAAAGATTGTGATACACACAATATTTTTTTTTCTTACACAGAGATAACCTTGCAATACATTGCTCAGACATTACTTCAGTGCAGAAAGAATGCGAGGTAATCTTCTCATGATTGTTCCTTATGTGATCCAATACCAAGTACCAACCCATGCCACTTCCAGGATCCCAACCACTTTTCCCACATGTAAGGATCCACCAGTTGAAAGCTTCATGTGAGATCAGCAAAGGATGAAGATTTACAGGTAGTTTGCACCTTCTGAAATCCTTGTGTTCCCCCCCCCCAAAAAAAAATAATGTGATAATGAGAAATGAGGTTGCCATGAGATGAGTCTTAAAAGGCTAAGTTTAAGTTGAAAGAAAATACTTCAAGTGTTAATGTTTTTCACCTGAAGAGCTTGCTTTCAAAAATTAGTTTATGCTGGCAGAAAGCACAAGTTTGTTTGGTGTTTTTTTTTTGCAATAAGTGATATTTACTGGAGCATGCTTTTCACAAAACAGTTATAGGAATTGGATAGGAGAAATCAATTGCACACTTGATTGCATAACTCTCCTGGATATATCCAGGCTCAGACATAATAAGTCTAATAGTGAATTTTCACAACAAAATTCTGAGAATTGGGTTTAGGGCAGACAAAAGAAACTGTCAGTTGATTGAGACAAGTTTTTCAACATAAATTATTTCTTTTATAGACAACGAATGGTAGAAATCCATTAGATACTGGATTCTCTGAATTGGCTCAAAACACAATAGTCTTCACTACTTCAAAATTATTAAGAAATTCACTTTGGGGGATATAAACTAAGATTCAGAACGGCCCAAGTAATTTCTATGATGACTGTTGCTAGGAGATGTTTCAGCTTAATCATGCAATGCAGAGTTAGGGTATAACCTGTTCTTGCAGAATTCTTTATCTTTGAAGCACTAAAAGAGTTAGAATCAAAGTAAAAGATTTCCAAATTGCAAGCTATACTACATTGCAAAAACAAAAAGCATTAAAGCAAAGTGAATACCAGTTCTTATTTTCAGCAATTAAGAAGGCAATTAACTATCCAATTTATAGAAGATGCTGGAATCTGGAATATCTACCAAATGGTACCTCACTACAACAAGCTAAAATAATTATTTCATGATAACTGGCAAGCTTTAGATTCTGAACATGCTATGATGGAATGTAACAGGATGATTTCTGAAGGACAAAGTGATTTTTATCTCAGGGTGTGATGTATCATTCATAAACCTTATGGAAATAATGGTTTTGGGTGCTTCTACTATCTCATGGCACAAAAATCTCAGAATTCTTATTCTATGAAAAGAAAAAAATCTCAGCTCCTTTTGCAGAGAGCTACTGAGAATTCATTGTTGTTTGCAACCACTTTGTGCATTTAAACTTTTTACTAGGCCTGTTTTGTCCCAAAAGGCAGAAAAATCCTATTCAAACAAAATGTGACTTGTTTTCTTTTTAAATTATTTTAAAAGGACAGTCCTCTTGAATTCTTATCTGGTACATTTGGATTTCATCTTTTCCTGAAGTTTTGCTCCAGCCAAAGTCGAACCTCTTGAAGATTGTAGAAAAAAGGGCCTTTCCCCCCCAGGTAAGCAATTTTTTGTCTTTGTATAATGCATACACGCTCAAAAGAAACCCCATAAGCCACATTGGCATTATTGTCCATGCAATCAGCCACTATCTGGCACTGTGGTGGCAAAGAAAACTTCTTTAGAAGCTGGTGAGCAGCAGCACATCTGTCTTCTTGGTTCCTATGTTTCTTGACTTCAAATGAAGATGAGATACCAGGAGCAGCCCAGCCATCTGATGGGTGAGCCTCATCAATGTAGACTAACAGAAAGTCAGCCACACTAGAGAACTCTTCCACCAACTTGCCAAAGGCAGACAGCTGGTTTGTGAAGGGAGGTCAGGTAGCTGACCCAAAGTTGATTACAAGTGGACGGTCTGATTTCGCAAAGTCTAAGAGATGGCATTCACTACCATATTTTCCCATGGAGCTTTTCCATCTGCAGTTGCTGCTGCTTTCGGCAGTGCCATTAGGTATGTGGATGACATTGGAATTAGGAGCATCTCCACCCAATTTCACCTATTAATTAAAACAAAAATATAATCAATTATTATGACTTGCTGCCATTTACCTTGCATTGTCCCCCTTATTAAACAAAAACTGTTAGCTTCTCCACCTATGAGCCCATTCAGAAATAAATTCTAGCACTTCCTGTCTTCCATTAGTTATGACAATAATTATACTGTACTGTTGCATAGATATTAATATCAATAATAGATTAAGAATCAGACTTTAAAAAAAGTAAGTCTAGTATTTCCAAGACGTCTAATTGGAACATTTCATTTCTTGGCTTTAAAAAAAATCAACTGTTGATGCTGACTAGGCTGGATAATATCCATAAAATTATTTGCAGTATGGGCTCCACCAGTCCACTGTCAGGCAGCTCAAGCACAAATCATTTTTCTCAATAAATAAATTGTGATGGTATTGAGTATTTCACATTATAGTAGGTATTAATGAGCAAATAAAAATGAAGTATAATGTTATTGATTCATATGCTTAATTGGGTCTTCTTTTTCTAGTTTTAGAACTTGTGTGGAGGACATGATACATTTTGGGCCACATTAATGTAAAAATATTGAAAACTCACATGTGGTCCTAATAGAATCTGTCTTTAATCATTTTTAATGGAATTATATAAAACAGAGTGTGACCTACTCTTTTCATTTATGACTGCTATCATGAATCCCCTTAGTTTTCTGAAGACTAAATACTTTCATTTCTTTAATTCCCTCCCTAGGGTTGAGTTTCTAACTCCCCAATTATTTTCTTTGCCTTTCTTTGGTCCCATTTTAATTTGTCTGAATCTTCTTAAAGTATATTCAAAACTGGACTGTATAGGTGAGGTGAGGTGTGACTAATTCAAAATAAAATAGAAAGATTATCATGATTAATGTATTGTACTTCTATTGATGCAGCCTGAAATGTATGCATATATTTATTTATTTTGCAGACACTTTACACTGCTGACTCACATTTAGGTTATGATAATCTACAATCTCAAGGTCGTTTGGAAATGGACTGCTGCCAGGCCAGGTATCCATGATCTTATTGCTGTGCATTGATTTCATTTTCCTAGGTTAAAAAAAAACCTTCCCCTTTTTGGTCTATTTTTTTAAATCTATTTTTCTCAGTTCTATCAAGATCAATTTGAACTTCATATCTCTTCAAGGGTTTTAATTATCCTATCCAATTATGTGTCATAGTCATATTTAATAAGTATTTTCACCACCTTGTCATTCAAGTCATTAATAAAACTGGTAGAAAGTATCTGGTCCAGGACTGCACTCCTTGCCATCTCATTTAAAACCTCCCTCTAATTTGATGAGGATATGACAAACATTTTAAAGTATCCTTTGCAAACCAGCTGTGGATCCACTTAATAGATGTATCATTCAGCTCATACTTAACTAGCATGCTAATTAGAACATTGATGTATTCTCTCTCTTTCTCTCTGTAGTATATATATGGCTAAAATGAAGATACTATTATCCATATGAAATTCAGCTCTATATTCTGGCAAAGCTATTGATGATTTAACATATCTCGTTTATTTTATTGATTTCTATTGAGCTTTCTGCTCAAAATACCGTATATACTGTAGTTTCCTTCTATTCCCCCCCCCCCACACACAACTTTGTTGTTGCTGAAGAAAACCTACTGAACCTAAGTCATGCTGTTTGCTTTTAGACCAGGGCTGTCAAATTCCTGGCCATGCATTATGCTCTGGCTATGCCCATGCCCGATTTGAGGGGGAAAGTTTCAATACATCATGTGACACCGCCAGGACGACGTGAGTTTGACACCCTGGTTCTGGATATCCAAGACAATATACCACTCCATGCAATCAAAACCAAAATTGTTCTATAGTTATTTCTTTATTTTTATCCCACCTTTATTATTTTTATTACTAACTCAAGACAGCAAACCACAGATGGGTTCCTACTGGTTCGGACTGGTTCGGCTGAGTAGGTAATAACGGCCTGCCATGCCCCCGAAACAATTTTTATCGGAGGCACCATAGGCACCGTCATCTTGTTCTTTGTTTCTGCACATGTGCAGAAGCATTTTTTTACTAATGCACATGCGTGTGTAGCGCACATCAAGCACATGCAAAACACATCCCTGAGTCAACCAGCAGTAGCAGAAGCCAGAACCAATCCCTGCAGCAAACATAACTAATATTCCTTCCTCCTATTTTCTACACAACAACAACATTGTGAGGTGAGTTGGCTGAGAGAGACTAACTGGTCCAAAGTCACCCAACCAGCTTTCATGCCTCAGGCAGGAGTGGAACTCACAGTCTTCCTGTTTCTAGCCTGGTGCTTTAATCAGTAGAACAAACCGACTCTCAATTTGTATTAAATATAAAACTAGTTCTGTCAGTTGTGACTTCCTGTTTGTTTTTCCAAATTATAAAAAGCAAGATTTGTATGATAGTACTACCCTGTTGAAGGTTTCCCTAAGCAATATTTAATGCATTCTTTAAAAATTGGGAACTTAAAATATGGAAGAAGAAAAAGAAGGAAAACCCCTATATCCAGGATTTTTGCTATTATTGTTCTTTCATTTATCAAACCCTCTTAGTGCCGAGACATTGGTTTAATTATGTTCTAACAAAGGAATATTTAACAAGTGCCTTCCAATCAAGGGATCACAACTGACTCAGGAATTAAATAATACTAGTTTTACGTCATCACATATCTGGAAAGAAACCAGGACATCCCCCAGTATGGATTGCATCACTGAGTTTCCCACATCAGCAAAAGAAATGTTGTGGCCACAGGTTATCATATTATTTATTTTTTTTGCTGTTAGAAGTCCTTGTGTTTGTTTGGAAAAATTGTCCTTAATGAGACAGGCTTGCCAAACAAGCATTCACAAGGCCTCCTCTGCTCTTGCAACAGAGTAATTAGGTCGGTGCCTTGTTCTGTGCTAGCATTAGCCACTCCAAAAAGCCAATCCTGACTAGTAGTTAATGCTTAGACACAACTGGCTGCATCTCCTGCTAATTGGTCTTGATGAAGCTGTAACATTCCCAAAGGTCATCTTTATTCTAGCAGGTTGAGAGATGGGATTGACATCCATTTCGAGGGACTGTTTGGTTTCTTTGTTGTTGTCATTCATTACTGAAGAGGGTGGAATTAACTCTTGGAAAAATACCTACAACGCGCCGCAGTGAAATGTCATCCAAAATAAATAAATTAAAAAAAATATTTCTCTGCCAAACTTCTTTTGAAATTACAGACAAAGGCAGCAAGAGAGCAGTTTGGAGAAGGAAACCCAGGAAATTTCACTCACACGCAATATTTCTGGCTCCGGCTTTCTTTTCCTATAACCATGGACTTCTTTTCTAACAAGCTAGTTCCATAGTCTACCATGGAGCTCTATGAAAATGGGATTGAATTTCTGTCTGACCAAGTTTTCCCCTGTAAGGAATATAGGATGCTGCTCTTCCACCACTAGCTCTGTTGAACTGAAAGCAGCAGTTCAAGTTATCCATGCTTTCTTTGACTTCTCTCCTTCTGTCCACTGAAGATTGTACAGTGAAAAGGATGAATGCATAATTGATTTATTGATTTTATTGCTTCAAGGTGAGCTGTGGTCACATCGTTTAAAATTGTACTGGGACACATTTAGCTTATACTGACAGCTTCTGGTAAATTGCTCATTTTTTTCATACATCTAAATATCATCAGATCTAGTGGCAGTGAATTCTATAAGCCAATTACACATCAATGAAGTCACACTATCATTTATTTGTCTCAGGACTAATTCAATTCATATCAAACCCCAGTGAATCTTACCTATTAGCAATGGATAATTTCCCTGCCTAAATCTAAGTTTTCCAATCTTGGCAACTTGAAGACACGTGGACTTTAAACTTCAGAATTCCCCAACCAGTTGGTTGGGAAATTCTGGGAGTTTAAAGTCCACGTGTCTTCAAGTTCAGTGGTGGGACTTGAATAACTTAACTACTGGTTTTCTAGTTGGGTAGGTGTGGCTGGTTGGTCATGTGACTGGGGCGTAACAACACTCATCATACCCAGCCCCATCACCCAGTCACTCACCTCAAAGGGAGAGGTAGGATTCAGCTGGTTGGGGCTGGTTGGGCCACCACTGGCTGGCTCTACCCCGCCCATTTTTTAGCCTGGTTTTTTTTGCCATTTTGGGCTGTTTTCAGGTGGTTTCCAGGACATTTGGGGGGCTGTTTTCTGGACCATTTTGGGGCCATTTTCTGGGCCATTTTAGGCCATTTGTTGGGCTACTTTTGACTCGAAAATCTGCCCAAAATGTCCACAAAATGGCCCAGAAAACAGTCCTAAAAACGAGTGAGGGTAGGACCAGCCAGTGGTGGGCTTTGCATAGAATTTAACTACTGGTTCGCCAAGACCAATGTGAACCAGCAACAGCCCACCTCTTTTCAAGTTGCCAAGATTGGGAACTTCTGGCATAGGTCATTGTCATTACCTTCCTAGATGAAAGTTGTTTTGTAAATACAGTTCAATATGCAGTTTTATTTAATACTCTAAGTCTAAGGAATCCCACTTTAATATTATATTCAGGAACAAGACCATGATTGGCTTGCTTATGCAGGCAAAGTGAAAAATGAGGTGTCAAAGGCAAGGAGACAAGAGTCTGATTCATAAATCACTGACTGGAATTAGAATTACCAGCATAGCATTCATGAACAAAATATTCTACCCTTTGCACAATTTTCTCCCTCTTTAAGGAGCAACTTTAAGTCTTTTCAAATTCTCCATAGGGGTTAGACTGTCAGACTGTGTCAGTTCCTTGCAGAAAAGAGATGTTGCCAAATAATCAATGGGCTCAGGCACCAGTCATTTAAACCCAGACATAATATATTAGAGTTATATTCAGAATTCCTTTGAGCAGTCAGAAATATTTGAAGATTTACTCTTTTTATTTTGTTCCATTCACAGACATCCAAATTTCTTAGTAGTCTGTCATTTCACAATGATTCATCCAAATCTTCACAGCTACTGCCACGAGAACAG